CAAAAATACAGCACCGGAAAAAAGAACTGCACCCTCCCAACTGCTATGAAAATGAAGACACGACGGCATAGCTGCCTTTCTTTCTCCTACTGGCGTTTTTTCTTTTTCTACTGACGTATTTCTCACAGAAAGCTCGGTTGACACTTTGTGTACCGAAGCAAAGAACCTTGCACGGGCTTGTGGGTGAGCAAGGTATGATAAAACTAGGGAACATAGCAGAATATTTTTTTGCTAATGATTAAACTCATACTATAGAACAAATTCAAGTCTTGAATACACAAATTGCTTCGGACATGCACATCATTGATATGCTCAACGGTCCCTGGCAGGTTTCGGAAAGAGATTCATGACGCTATATGGCAGTCTTGACAGCATATCGTGCGTTGATATTAATAACCTGCCCTAAAAGCTGGCGATCACTAGGTTGCGTATGTCAAGCAGCCCACCAAAAGCTTTCTTACGACCAGTACCTGGACAAAAAATCCACCAAAACAATCCATTGACTAGTCCGCTCCCCAACACAGCGCCGGCGACGACAATAGTCGGTTGTCGTCAGCTTTTGTGTGTTTCGAGGTATTCTTTCGGCTTGGCTTCCAGAGATGCCAGGTATTGCTGTCATCACAAAACCTTGCCATGGCGTCATCGACATTGACCGTTAACGAGACGCAATTTACGAAGTTAACAATTGTGCTGCCCTATGTGTCGTTTTTAAACCTTGAAAGCTCCACTAATAGCTTTTACAAACACACAAGAAGAATTAGGAAGTAGGCTTTTTCCCATCATATCTGATGTTTATCTTAATGTCTTGAAATGTGGAATATTCCGTTTAATGAGTTAAATTATGTGCCAACAGAAACTGGCCCTTTACGGCACATAACTGCTTTGAAAATGGCCCTTAAAAAGCGTGTTTCGAAACGGTGTCTCAAATCTCAAACAGAAAGGCCTATTTCGGTGCGTTTAGGCCATTCTGCAAGGAAACGTCACCTGAGCCAAGTAGCATAAACATGACAGAATATCAATTGTTATGGATGTGTTGGGAATCAGAACCTACGACTTAGAACCACATTTTCGTCGCGTTATAGACATCTGCGAACTATAAGACGCTGCTTAAAACACTAATGTACTGCCCCAGAACACTGCAATGGCGCCTCTGGACAGTAGTTAAATGAAGACACCGCGTTTTGCGGTGCAGGAAGTGCGGTGTTGACGTATGCAAGTATTGTCAGTACTTACGAATGAAAATGAAAAATGCACATGTGAAAAGAGGGTGTGGGACATTGGAATCCAGGATCGTAGTCAAGCCAATAGCCAAGTATTGGTAGTGTTTGAATTGCATGTGCGTTAGAAGGGAGAGAAATTATCAGATATCCTGGTCCTTGCTGACACTTACGTGCTGTTCATGCGAAGGATGATCAACATAGAAAAACATAAAATATAAAAATGTCATATCCAAGTGACACAACAAATAAACAAAAGACAACACATGTAATCGTTGGCTTACTGCAAGCCGTGTCTGCCGCTATCTCAGCGAAAGGCAGTTGTGAATGTGCATCAATATGCATTCGCATTGAGGAAATGCTCATATGCCGTCGATCATAAAAATAAAGCGATAAGTTTTTTCCTTAAACGAGTTGGCAGCACTCCATTTTTAAGTTACCCCGCTGTATACGGTGAACAGGTGGCCTCTGGGCAATTGCAAAATTATATCGGTGTCTATGAAAGTGCATCTCTCAGTGTTCTGTTTCCTTATGTGTTTTCTAACGATCTGCCTCAGTTGTTGACTACGGCACCTACCCTTGCAGTCTGCTGACATCCAACATCTAATCGCGGGAGGAGGCTGACATGGGGGTTGCTATCCGACGTATGGAGACTGCCCCAGGCACCTTGTATGTTGACTGGCCAAAGTCGGTTGATGCCTTTCTTAATACACTTAACATGCTGATGAATACGAAGCTGGAAGCAAAACCTCGTCCAATGACAATGCAAAGGAAGGGTATGAATAATCGCATGTGCGGTGACGTTTTCGGAAATCACAATCGACATGCTCCCATTTAAATATGCTTTAGTTGAGGGCAATGCAACTGTAAGGCTGAGAAAATAAGGCACGATTATGGCATGACTCAATCTGACTGGGTAATCATGAGCCACAACCAGCCAAGCAACAATCCTCTAGAAGCTGAGGCCCACCAGAGTTTTTCTAAGCACTGGAGGGCAAAGAAAAGCTTGGGAGGGGTCTCGCTCGGCCCAAGAACTGTTCTCTTTACAGGCTAATGCCTTAGGAAACATTGACTGTAGTTCATCATGACTTTCAGTGGCACATAGCGTACAAACAGTGATGGCGAACAAAGTGGTAGTGAGGCTTGATCGGAAACGAAGCGAGGGACAGAGGCTGCGGTGCGATCGGTTCCATGTTTTCACCTAGTTCGGGAATGAGATGCGAATTATAGCAGAACAATCGGTTGCAGCTTCTGAGTTGTCATTATTAAAGATTTAGTCATAATCACTTGCGTGGATAGATGCATGCAATCAACGCCCACGGTAACTGGTGATTGCTACGTTAGCCACCACCACCGGACCGTTGAACTCCGGGTCAACGCCATAATTTCATGGCGAAAGCTGAACGAGCCACAACACGTGGTAGTATGCGTCCTACCCTGAGGGTAGGCCCTTCTGACCTCACCTGACCTTTCCCGCACCCGGCGATACCGGCCATGTACCATGCCATCCAGGGACAAATAAGGAGCGCATGGTGTGAGGTCAACCCCTTACCACCACTGTCTGGTGAATCAGAACGACGGAGCTCTAACCAACTGAACTATTGGACGAAATATGGAAGCCGAACGGGAAGGAAAATAGTAATGCATGAATAATGAAAACCTTAATGGAAATACACTTATTATGTCTCTTATTGTTGTGTGGAAGCTTCAGCATTAGGAAAATCATTGTCACCGCCGGAATAATGAAACGACTCATTTGCACGAAGAGTAAGAAAGCATACTAACAGATCACCCTTTTCTATATTCATGGTACTGTCTGACTTCTACGTGCGAAGATTGATTAGATCATCCAAACGATATCCTTGAGAACGTCAGTTCTATTTTAAAACCTCAGCCTCATTGACATTTTACGCTTGCATGGTCAGTCACGTATGTTTGTTGGCTGGAGACAAGAATCCACCTGCACTTCACGTCTTAGGCCGCTGAGTGCCTCAATGATGGTCGCTTGTGGTGGACCGTTCAACAAAAACAATTAATAGTCATCGTTTTCGAGACGTTTAGAAGTGCTTCTCTAGTATCTGAGAATGTCTAAGATATACGCAGAAGTGCAGACATCGTTGTATTTCAATGCACACACACGCACGCACGCGCACTCACATACGGACAACAATAAATTAAGCTCACCCATGTAGCGTAATGAGGCAAAATTCTGCATCATTTGTACAGAACGCGACAGGCCATTGAGAACGATCAAGTGGGAAGCGAAGAGCCTGTACATCGTTTAGTTGTAACGGGGCTTGTAGCCGACGATGACGCGCTCATACTGAGGCTGGGGCTGGTAGTAAGCGCGGGGAGCCTCATCATCGTCATCATCCTGCTCAGGCGCCTCGTACCTCTCCTCATCATCATCGTCATCAGACACCTCCGGGGTGGGGTACTCGGTGGGCACAGGGGTAGGCAGGTGGTCGCCCTGGGGTTGGAAGCCGTTGGCGTCGGCCACGTAGACGACCTTGTAGACAACACCGTCGGGACCGGTGTAGCTGAACTGGCCGTTGACGTCATAGCTCTCCTCATCGCCGTATCCCTCTACCGGCCGGCCAGACTCGGAGGCGTAGATGCCGTTCTCCGTCTCAAAACTGGCAGAAAGATTCGCGAATCAGTTGCAACACTTGTACTTGTAACACAGAGATGGCTAATGACAAACCATAACTGTTATGTTTTGTGGAAAGGTTACTTTGTCATTGAAACGCGAGGGAATAAGAACGCGATCGTGTTTGGCACCAGCCGATAGGTGGAATCCTAATTTGCGTGAACAAAAAATCATGAATGCCTTACACGTGACGTTACGCGCTCATATTACGCAACCGTTTCGTGACTGCAAGTCTGACAGTGTTCAGTTATGTCAGAATACTCCAGCATCGCAATCACAGGCACTAATTGAGGTTTTACGGCAGGACTTACTGCGAGTCGTAGGACTGGTCGTCGCGGAGCTCAGCCTCCTGCTTCAGGATCTCGTACACCTTGGGGGCGTAGGTGGGGGCACCGTAGCTACGGTCGGGGGCGGCAGCGGCCAAGGCCACAACGGCGGCGAGCACGATCTGAAAAAGGTGATGCACTCAGAAGTTTGATATGCGCCCAGTACTTTATTGAATTACAAATTCCGTTTACAGTGCATCTTTCAATGCAAATGTTTATACCACGTTGCAATTACTTGAAGACGAAATCATACAGTTCTTTGGATAGGAGAACAATATAATTTCAACGCCAACACCAATGCAAGTGCATTTCAAAAAAGAACTATGCGTATTTTTGATGAGCGTCTTACCAGCTTCATGTCTGGTGGTTTGGATTTGATCTTTATCCGTAAGAATGCTGATAAAGTTCGTATGTTGTGTTGCTAATAAATCATGAATCCGATATCGCAGTTGCACTGCTGTAATCAGGTTCTGCGGGGTCTGACACGTCAGTGTACTGATAAATCCCAGACGTTAGAAAAGTTTTCCGCATTTCGTGGTGCGTGTGATGACGGCGGGGCAGACTAAAAAATATGGGAGGGGCGCTCGGAAAGAGAATTATGTATAGCACTGGCCGAAACAAGACCCCATGGATCCATATTAAGTATCATGTTCTTCATAAAGCTATCGTGTGACGCCTCGAAGCAGTTCACTCCTGTCCACATTACCGACAGCGTGGAGGGGCAGCAGGCTTGATTCAATCTTGTTTATGATCGCAAAAACATAGGTCACATTGAAGTCAAAACTTCAGTACCCAAGGCAGCCACCACACATGACCGATTAAGGATGGTTGCAAACACTGCTTGCTGACTGATCGTAAAGCCGAATTACAGCCAAGCCGATTTCCGAGGGCATTGAAGGACGTGGGACTGCATCTGTTCCGCGCTCGCATGGCATTAACGTCAACAGCAGGCGGTCCACAGTACCACATGTGAGAGCACAGACGACAGGTGGCGGTCGGCGTGGTGCAGCGGTGCAACCGGGGGCGTTGTGCAAAATACCTCGCGCATAACGCTCAGCAATGAGACGAATCTTAGCCTACCACCAGAATACTCAAGAAAACGATTTTTCTCTAATTTTACACATTTTCTTTTCAAAGTTGGGGAGAGGTCTCGAGCCCCCACACTGCGTGGGAAACAACACCGCTGCGCATGGCCATCGGTGATTGAGCGCCCACACTTCACCTTCTGTATAGACCGTCTGAATTTGGACATACTCGCAAGCAGTCTGGCTACTCTCGGCTAGTTCTGTCGTTCAAAGTACATGAACTCGATCAGGAAGAGAGCACCTAGCAGAGTTGCCTTCATGTTGGTCTCCAGGTCCATGGGGAAGCTGACGCCCATGTTATCCGCGTCGGTGAACATCTCCTTAACGCAGCCGCTCCACTGCTTAGTGATGTTGCCGACCTCCCGAGAGCGGTCGGCGGAGAGCACGGGGAAGCTAACATCGCTGCAGAGCGCGCACTGACAGATGGGGCCGCCGATGCGCAGCACTGGAGTGCCGTCGGGCCGCATCACCGTCAGCTTGGGCCTGAGGAACGCCCACTCCTCCTTGACGAGACCGATCACCTGGCCACCAGCCGTCACCTCCAGCTCCTGCAGACAGCAGGGGCAGCAGCAGCCCTGGCAGCGCAGCGGCCGGCTTAGATGCAGCACCTCATGCTGTTGCGAGTCCAGCACACGGATGTCGAACGGTCGTATCGGCCCGAAGCACCAGCGCGTGCAGCAGTCCGTGTCTTCCACCACGTAGAACAGCCGCTGGCCCATGCTGTTCGTCACGACGTACTTGTTTTTTGTCTCGAAGCCGGTGAAGACCTCTAGCAGCTCGACCTTCTGCTGGACGAGTAGCTGGTCGACATGCGCCAGGTACTGGAGGCCAGGCGCAGTGCCGCGCCGGCCACGCCGCCCATCGCGCCGGGCTGGCTGCTGATGACGCCCATGCCGAACTGCTGGCCGTGCCCCTCGTCCAGCACCGCCGGCTGGAAGCCGTACTGCGGCGGCTCGCTTCGTCCCGCCGCCATCGCCGTTCAGCGCTCGAGAGCGGGTCGGACCGTGCCAGGAGGCAGCTGCTTTCCTCGCTTCCGCGGCTCGTGCTGTGCATGAGGCAAGACGCAGTGCGAGCCACGGCGCAGCTCGTATCTCTCTGGGCGGACAGGGGCGCCACCAGGCTACCCTCCGCAGGGCGGCCGCGCGGCGCGGCGGGCCCGCGGCCCCCCCCCCCCCCCCCCCCCACCACCCGCAGCCGCCAGCGCAGCGGCGGCGACAGCGTCAGTCCAACTGTCTGGCGCTACTGTCGCCGTCGGCGGTCCTCAGACGGCAGCGGCAGCCGACGATCCACGCCGGACGCGCCCCTGGCCAGTGACGTCATGCACGCATCGACACCGATTTGTGCTATGACCTCGGCGCTGGGCGATAGCAGCGCAATCTCGCTGTTGCGGGCGGGGAGGTCGTGCAGTGGGAGTATCAGCCGATACTCGAGGGTCCGTTCGGCAGCTGATTGTAGGCGCAGTGACGGTGCCATGCTTTGCCACAGCACCGCCCGATGGCGGGCTGGGAAATATATCCAGAATGATTTCACCCTGTGCTTAAAAGGCTGGGTAGTTAAATACTTAGTTAGCGGTAGGCATTCCTAACACTGAAACGACAAAAATTACCCGAGCAGAACGGAATGCCATAGTGCGGGCGTCATACTGCAAACGCGATGATCTCCGCTCAAAAACGTGCCCGAACAAGATATGGAGACGTCATACCGCACTGCACGGTACCACTGCTGTCGCGCTTCCTCGGCCGTCGGCGGTCTAACACACGCTACGAAGCTCCCCATTTCCATATGACTGGCATTCAGTTCCCGCGTGTCGTATGATGTACCGCGACGCGCCCGGACCAGGGACAACTCCCCATCGCTGTAGCCGAGCGGACGTACCCATTTGCTCTGCCGTACGGCTCCAACTCCATTGCATGGGCCCGGCCAACCGACCGGCGACACACGCAGATCCGTAGACGCTACACGATCTATTAAAACGGTCGTTCACAATCGCTGCACGGCCGCCCACTGAGTCACAATCACGCACGCTCACAATGTCCCGCCGGCCAAACCCGACCACTGCTCGCCGACTCCGGGCGCGCGTCAGCTCGCTGCGGGGAATATCTCGGTCAGGGGTCTTCTCACAAACCTCGGCTAGTCCGTATAGCTAGCGGCCCAGTCACTAGACCCCGACGACTTAGATAGCACTCAATAGCGCCGCTCGAAGCGCGTCCCGTCGAACAAGAAGTCGCGGCATTCAGCTCCCCGGTCAGGAATGACCTGAACGCGCTCATACGGGCCTAAAACACGCCTGCCGTTGCGCCTGTGCAGATACTGTGATGCACAGCAGCCGGTGCAGAGGGGAACACTCGAATCAAATCAGGACCCCACAGTCGAGTCAAGACTCGGCGCACAGCGGAGTCTGCCGCTGGGGCGCGCCCCGTCCCAGCGGCACGGGCTGGAGGCAGGTCCGAAGACGCAGCGCACCGGCCGGCCACGCCACCCGCGGTATCACAGCCGACGCTCCAGACGGCGACGGACGCCATGCCGGTCCGGGAAGGCCGCCGTCGGAGGAGGCCGGCTCCGCCCCGGGCCGACGCCGCGCGCGCCAGCCTCGGCACACCGACCCGGCGCTGGTCCCACCCCGGTGCGGCTCAGCCCGCAGCAATTCTCCAGTCAGCTGGCCGACCGCGCCGTCCGCCGGCCCCGCGCGATACTGCGCGGCGCTCGCGCGGCAGCC